GTGTAATAATTTTTATTTTTATTTTTAGAGAACTGAAGCTTTTGTTTTAGTTCATGAACTAAGAAATCCAAAATTGAGCTAATGTGTTCATCCATTGGAGCCAATATCCATTATAATTATAATTATGTATGTTATACTGTATATGTCTCTGAGTTTATCTATGTATGCATCATCCAAACTGTTCTTGAGCGCAGGAATGTGCTGAGCAGAGGAGATGCAGAGAGCTGGCCGAAGCGTCTACCTTTTACCGTGCAGTGTACTCAGAGGTGACTTGGACAGTCATTTGAACCCATTATCTTTTGCCACACAAACACCAATTTCCTGGAACTAAGTATCATTTTATACTGCAGGGTTATAACATCTGGTCTAGCATTTTTAAGTACTTATGTTTTAAATGTTTCAGGAGTCTAAAATATTATGGGTGCTAAATGCTCATTCTAAGGACCAAAAGTAAATTTTAAAATGTTTTTGGGTTAGTGAAAATCTATGCATTTGAACTCATGGATCGTTCACCACAATTATTTTGTGTAAAATAATTTATTTTTATGTTGAGTACAAATTCTATGAATCCCCATTGTGAAGGGCACACCTTTCCTTCCTGAACAAGGCTGGGTTCGGAGAGGCCAGCCACACATTATTGCTTCAATTACTATTTCCTTTAATTCACTTATGATTTTATTTCCCATTGAAATTAGGAAAACGCCTGAGGTATGAATAAGAACCTGTTTAAGACTCTGAATGCAGCAGTTGCTAATTATTTTCTCACATGAACCTGTATCTTGATGCTCTAACACCATACAAGCAACTAATGTGAAGGCTCATAGAATTGTTTCAGTATACGATTAAAAGCATTTGTGAAAGTTGTTAGTTATTAATGTCTTTGGATTTTCTATGACATTTGGTAACATAAGTACCTTCATTGCTGCTGATCATTGACTTGATCATCATGTGAATGTAGATAGAGGAGGTTGGATGGGAGCATCTGGTGAGGTTCTGTGGAGATCTAACATCTCTCAGCTTTCGGATCTTGTAAGATATTCTTGTTCCCATTCAGTATCCAATTACTATTTTTTTCTTTTTCATTTTGCATTTGATAAAAGGGAAAAAAAATTCTTTGGTTCTTCAAATATGCCGAGAATTTCTATACATGGGCCAAGGATATCTGGTTTTTTATGTGCCAGATTAGTTATAGTGATTTCAATATAAGAAGGAAGTGGAGATATTTAGTTGTGAGAAATGAAATAGTGCTGCCAAACATGTTTTGTCTTGTGTCCCAATAAATATTTAATGCTGTAAACATGTTATGCAATTGTCAACTTATTAAAAGTTTCAAGATTGTATTTGTGTCGTGGACTAGCAATCTGGTTAGTGTGAAGTAGAGTAAACATGCTTTATCTGAAGGCAAGTGTTGTGTTAGATACTATTTCTTTAGTTGCCGAGTTCTATTTTTTGGTCAAAGGGTTACTGAGTTCAGAACTGTGTTTTTTCTTATTTCTTCATCCAAAAGCTGTGCCTGTTTGATTGTGCCTAAACCTTTGTTCTTTCATAGTCCTTAATTCTCATCAGTAGATTAAATTTTATATATCAAGGAAGTACTAAGGAAATTCTAAAAGGTTTATACTGGGTGCTTGTGGAGCATTAAACCCTAAAGTTATGATAAGAAAAGTTTAATTTTCCAAGAATCAGATTTGAACTTCTAACAATTTTCAGAGTAGATCGTTTAATACAATAGTGTTATCTTAGGTTATCCTCGGAATTTTCTTTTGACACCATGTTGTTTAGCAAAAAAATCTTCCTGAACATTTAGGCTGTTGTTGCAATTAGTTGTTTGGTAAAATTTTCTTTTTTGGCCATGCAACATGAGTTTCTGCCATTCTTCATTTTTTTTATAAACTTTTTGGCATTCATTTCTGCCATTTTGCACATGATTATACTGTCTTAATCATGTAATGGGCTCAATCTTTTGTAAATCTGATTACCAGAGATGGCAAGGGGAAAATGCATATTATTGAGATTCAATTGGATAAAACCCATCCTAAATGCCCTCCTTCAATTTCAGCAGTATGTCTTCTTTAATCTTTTGCATTGTTAAGTTTTTCCATTTGAGGCATAAATAAGATTTAAGTTTATTTCTCAGGATGTACCATATATGTTTGATTTAAAATGGTCAACACACTCAAGATTGAAAGATGTGGTGCAAAAGTTTAAAAAGGTATTCATTTTTTTTCCTTTCAAAATACATATGAGAGATGTTGCATTAGTTGATTCGAGTTGCCGCTTATAGACTTCATCAAGTTGTTTTCTTGTGTTCTTATCTTTGCTAAAAGCTGTTGATAACTTATTCTTGTATCCAGCATCTGGAGAAGCTTCAGGCATTTTGGTCTACTTTGGATGATATTGACAGGTCCCTTTGGGTTGTTGATCCTAAACAAGCATCTCCTTCTGTATCCTATCGCCAGATCAATATGGGTGAAGCATCTTCTTCATAAGTATTGATAACTCTTCTCCCTTCTGTATGTCGGTGTTAAGTCTTTTGAGGTTTTTGTTTCACAGGAAATGATTGCTTCATCATGTTGTCTATTAATGCCTTTGATCCTAGATCTTTACCAGAGTGAGATTCCATCTCAAATAAGTTACTAGAGCTACTATCTTCTAGCTTTTGCTTTTCATTCAATGCGAATATCAAGTTGTGTTAGATGTCGTTTTATTGGTTCAGGTCCAATTGTGAACTTGTTGAGAAATAGATGGCGAAGAAATGGCAAAAGATGGTATAACTTTGCATCCGTTCCTTGCCTTTCAATCTGTATTCTTTGGTACTTGTATTTAAAAGTAATCTAAATAGGAATTTTCTGGCTGTGTTACTGCCGAATCATCTTTTTTCATGAATATATTTGTCTATTTGTACCCTTAATTTTGATGACTCCTGGCTTTTCTTTAATGAACTCTACATCAACCTCGTTTGAAGGTTGGGAATCAAAAATAAAATTTCTAGAGTAGGGATAAGTTTGTTATGGAGAGAGAGAGAGAGAAGAGGACTGAGTGATATATGTATATCTTTTGTGTGATTGCACAGGATAAAAGACAAACAATTTCTAGAAAATCTTAAATGTCTTTTGGAGACTCAACTGCCAATTCCCCCTGATGTCCAGAAGAATGAGCAGCAAGTTGAATGCGGAATTTGTTATGCTCAGAGTCTTCCTATTGGTAATCCTCTAGCAATTTTAATGTAGATGTTTACCAAGTTTTTCAGTCATTGATTTAGCAATGTTAATGTAGATGAAGAGCTCAGACATAAGAGTGGAACTGGGACTGACTATACATGCGACAATACCAGTTGCAAAAGGGCTTTCCATAGCATATGTCTTGTGGACTGGTTGCGTTCTATCACCACAACAAGACAGTATGTTAAGTTTCTTGTATCACAGTTAACTTCTGCTGGTTTATGCATGAATGTAGCCTTAGTTGTCTTTTGTAATATTTTGTAACAGAAATTGTGGGTTGAGATTAAATATGGCATATTTCAAGTTCAATAATGTAGTGTGCATTTTAACTTTAATATGATAAAAAAGAATACATGCACTTCTCCAATTGAAATCTTTTATTAAAGCATTTCACTAGGAGGCACAGCAATTATATACAAGCAGAAAATGGGAACTATCAGGACCACGACAATTATTTTAATCATCAGAACAGTTTGACTTTAAGAATTATTTGGGCCGCATCTGTCGGCCATGTGAATGCATAACCTACAGTGGTAAACGTAGGCTTCCTTTTATGGATACTTGAGTTATGATATTTATGTGTACTTTCATTACAGGTCATTTGATGTTCTGTTTGGAAGTTGTCCATACTGTTCAGAACCAGTTGCGGTGAAAATCGACAGCATGAAGAAGTAAGCTAGGTCTTCTATGCCTTCTAATAATTTGATTTCCTCATTTCTTCTGCACATCCCTGAAGTCCAAAGGCTGTTAATTCTTTATGGTAAATTTGTACCACTGTGGAAATGTGAAGACCAAAACTCGGAAAGTTGTATTTTACTTTATATATATCGAACAAGATGACTTATCAAATGCTAAATAGTTGTTTTCTATGCATAATAGTCTGTCTAAACTTTATCCATTGTGCCTGTTCACTTGAAACCAAAAGAGTAATTTTACTTGCCCTCTATACCAAATGAACATTTTTCTTTTTGTTTGGTTGCCAAAGCATTCATATATTGTCGGCTGTTTGTATATGCCTTTGTGTCTAAGCACCTTTAAATTGATACC